AAGAAAGAAAGAAAGAAAGAAAGAAAGAAAGAAAGAAAGAAAGAAAGGAAGGAAGGAAGGAAGGAAGAAAAAAAGGAAGGAAGGAAGAAAAAAAGGAAGGAAGAAAGAGAGAGAGAAATGGAGGGAGGGAAAAAGGAAAGAGAGTAAGAAAGGGGGATGGATGAAAGAAAGAGAAAGAAAGGAAGAAAGGGGGAAAGAAATGAAGAAGAAAGAGAGATGTGGAGGGACAGAGGGATGGAGGAAGAAAAGAAAGTAAGGGGGAGGGAGAGAGGAAAAGAAAGAAAGAAAGAAAGAAAGAAAGAAAGAGGGACAGAGAGAGGGAGGAAGAGAAAGAAAGAAAGAAAGAAAGAAAGAAAGAAAGAAAGAAAGGAAGAAAGAAAGGAAGGAAGGAAGAGAGAGAGAGAGAGGGAGAGAGAGAGAGAGGGAGGGAGGGAGGGAGGGAGGGAGGGAGGGAGGGAGGGAGGGAGGAAGGAAGGAAGGAAGGAAGGAAGGAAAAAGAAATGAGAGAGGGAGGAAAAAGAAAGAAAACAAAGAAAGAAAAGGAGAGGGTAAGTTAGTGGGGTCGGGGTGGAGGTGAATGTGATCAAACTACAAAGTCATACAGGTACAAACATGTCATTATGAAACACATTTCTTGTACAACAAATAAAAACTCCAGTAAATTTTAAAAAATAAAATACATAGTGCTGCCGTCTGGGATGCTGTGCACCCGAACCTATCAATCACCCTTGTCCAACACCATGGAGCAGTGATGCCACAATTCTAACACTCTGCTTATTCTCTGGCTTTTGTCTGTGAATCTTTCTCTTTCTGCTCTTTATATCGCCCATACTGGGAAGAAAAGGAAGACAAATAAACAATGCAGATTTTAAAATCACCTCTTATCATGTCGGATAGCAAAAGGATCATAATATAAGAGCAGTGTGAATACCATTTATAGACCATCTTACAAAATAGCACACCCTCTAAAGTGACCCTGCAGTGATGGTACAATTTGTTAATCCTAGCACTCAGGAGGCAAAGGCAAGAGGATCTCTGAAAGTTCAATGTCAGCTCAAGCTCCAGGACTACACAGAGAGATCCTGTTTCGAAAAACCAAACCAACCAAACAAAAACCAAATCCTGAGGCTCAGGATAGTAACATGATTGGCCCTATGCTACATAGTGGATAAAAAACCTAGAATCTGAGTCTTGGAATTTCTGTCTAAGCTTCTTTCCAATTGATGAAAGTCAGAAAGTGATTTGTCACTATGGGAGATTAGAGTACCAATTCAAATCTTTTGATTGAGTTAACCAGTTCCTTTCTCTACACTGTCTATGTAGCATCACCCATATTTCTGTACTTACACACCATTATCACATTCTGGTATTTTGTAGCATCTTCCCTAAAGAAATCTTAACTGACGCTTGAAGACACTGGAGAGGGCTTTCCATTACTCATGGCTTGCAGAGGTGAAAACTCACTCTTTGGACAGATAGGTGATTAACTTAAGAGTCATACGTTACCTTTTACACATTAGTAGGAACACTCAAGAATACCAAGGAGTGATTGATCTTCACGCAACATTGGAAATCCATACTAAGAATAGCAGAGGTAAAGTACAGGGAGATTACTAATGCTTGATAAGGGATATTTGAATGCCAATAAATTTATTTAATGATGAACTAACTGCACAGATGAAATGTTGAGTTTTGGTTTTAAATAGTGTGTGAGTTAATGTGTGTGTGTGTTTGTGTGTGTGTGATGTGTGAATGCTTGTGGTATATGTGTGTATGTGAATTGGTGGGGGGTGCTTGTGTGGTTGTGTTTGTATGTGAATACTTGTAGTATGTGTGCGTTTGAATGGTTGTGCTATGTGCATGTGATGCCTGTGGCTTATGTGCCGAGGCTTGTATGGAGGACAGAAGAAGAAAATGGGTCTCCTGTTCTAGCACTCTCTGCCTATTGCCTTGAGACAGAGTCTTTCAGTGAAGCTGAACTATAATCCATGTTTCTAAGCATTTAGGGGCACAGAAGGATGAGAAGTAGAAAGAAGATACAAATGTATCAAAATTGTTAAGTGCATACCATGTAAATGACTTTTCCTGAAATTTGAAATCCTGCAGCATGCAATACATATCAGTAATTATGGGGAGAGGCATACTTCTGCATTTAAACACCCTTTAGTCATTTTGATATACAGAAATAAACAGTTTAGAAACTATAATTGTTCAGTTATCAGAGATATTTTAAGAGGTAGGATTATGGACTGATAATAATCCACACTTGTCTTCTAGATGTATGACCAGAATGATCTTTTGAGCCAATAGAACCAGCCACTGTTCCAATTCCCTTGGAACATTTTTGTTAAGTATTTTCAGATCTCTATGCTCAAGAGAATGGTGCATCTGTCTTCTGGAGACGCCTGGCTGCATTCTTTCCCAGATACTAATATAGGTGGCACTTCAGTAGTGTAACCAGTGACATGAGGAACCTGATTTGGAGGGGAACAGATGGTAGCATCTTTCTTGGGTTAATTTTAGAATACTGAAATAGTTCTTTTCTCACGCAAGCCATCCATGGAACCAAATTAAAAGAGCTATGTCACATGGAAGATGGAAAAGAAATACATATCTTAGTGTAAGGCAAAGACAATGCACCAGAACTTTCAGTGCTTTCCCCTTGTTTGCCTCCTTTCATATAAATATGAAGGTCACTTCAACTTCTTTTCATCCAAACGGATGCAGAGCACAAACATGGGAATATCTTTTATAAATGAGTGGGACAAACCATATCCTTAGTCATATGTATTCAATAATCATATGCATTGAATAATTAAAGTTGCATCATGCCATATATAAATTTATATCAATTTGTAAAACCTAGTTTTAAAGGCATGTTTTTTCTTAGCCAATAAAGAACTTGGGGGCTAACTGATCACTATGCCTGGTAAGGCCAAAGGTATAATGAATTTCAAAGCAACCAATTTCTGGTTCATTGTTTTGTCTTGAGAAGTTCTTTCTCTCAAATGAGATAGAAATGTCAGTTGAGGATGAAAGAACTTGGAGGGAGAGACCCTCAAACATGAATAATGGTTTAGGTATATGATGATTCATCAGTTGGGAAAACGAGGAAAGTACTTTACACAGTTACTGACCTGCTTTCCATCGAGGGTGTAGAGTTTTTTGACAACTCCGGTCTCCAATTTGATCGCTTCTGTGATGTCAGTGAGGACCTGCTCGAAAGAGTGGGCTGTTTTCTTGTTGAGAAGCACACGCACTGCCTTCCGAGGCTTCACCCCACTGCGAATGATAGTCACAAGTTTGGGGCGCACAAAGTCCTTGTTCTCTCTGGCTTGAGCACTGTTACTGCTAGCCAAGGACTGGGGAGCTTTCATGTTGGCAGATGTCTTTACGTTGACAGACCAGTTGGGGTTGACATTCTTGGTGTACTCAACCTTTTTAAAGAAGTTGTCTGAGGAACAGACATAGCTTTCCCCTAAGGGAAGAAATAAATGGTTAAGTGTTAAGTTCAGTAGTAAATATGCAGATGCAAATCAAGTTTATGCTATAGTAAATAGTATACTCATACTGAAATAAAGCTTTGGGTGAAATGTTGACATAATAACCAACCTTACCTCCAGTTCCTAAATGGGTCTTCTGATGACTTATTCAAATACAAAAGTAATCAGCTAAATACCCTTCAATACAATGGCATAGCTAGTTAAAGAACTTTGTAAATCTAAGGGATATACACATACACATATATCGCAAACACCTTTAAGTATGATTTAATAAGTAGAGTTCATACAATCAATATGATACTATTAGGATGTAAATGCTTTCCAGTTTCTATGATGTTCACTAACTTTCATGCACCACTGGAACATGTTTAACTTGTCTCTATTTCCTGATATGATGTGTGCTACTTTTACTATAATATGAACCAAAGAAGACTTTCAATGTTAATTTATTTTTCTTTCAAATTAAAGTGAACCCAAAAAAACCCTTACATATCAGACATTCAGTAGACATTTGGTCAAACACCAAATCATCCTATCTTGCTAAATAGTTGAGTTATTGAAATGTGAAAGGTGTGTGTGTGTGTGTGTGTTTCATGCGTGTGTGCACGTGTGTGCATGCATGGGTGTGAACACACATGTACTGAATGTCTAAATGTGTGTATAAGTGTGTTATTTACCGCTTATCCCACTCTAAATGAAGAAAGCATCTAAGTAACAACCCCTCCCCTCCAAACACAGAGGATTGCATCCCTAGTGTTTGCAAGTCTAGCTCTTCTTTGGAAAATATGTTCTTCTATTTCTACTACCCCCTTTACATCTTTCTCCATTCTCCTAAATGCTGCATGCTACATCTGTGTATTTGGTGCCATTTCCCATCAGTTGCTTTTGGCTGCCCCCAAGTAGTGAGTGGGAGACTGCATTATGTATCCTGATTGAATTGAAAAGGTCTAGTATAAGCTTTAGATTTACTATGGGCTGTGGGAAATGACTAATAGAGTGGAAGAAATGCAGTGGCCAGAGGCAAGAGGAGGGCATTATACTCCTGGAACTAGAAACTAAAGAACATTGGAAGCAAGTTAGGCTCAGCCTGAGGGAGAAGTATATTTGGGGCGGGGGGAGGAAGAGCTGAATTTACTGAGTAAAGCATATTAGCCTTAAGGTATAAGAAGTTCATTCAGAGGTTGAACTGCAGAAATAGTGATTTGATCGGGCTTTAAGTCATCAGTAATAAAGCTAAATACATAGACAATAGATAATTCCTAGCCAGTGCAAAAAAAAAAAAAGAAAAAGAAAAAGAAAAAAGAAAAACCAAATTAAACACAATTAAAGTCTGATGGTTTTCCTGCTCACTTTGGTCTCAGCAGGAGACCAACAAAGAGACATTCAGAAACACCAGGCTGACAATTCATTCTCTTTGCAAATATTGACTGCACCAAATCCTTTAAGTCATGTGAATTAATAATTTCTCGGTTAGTGCTAAGACTCAGTGGCAGTCTCCAGGGTAGCATTGAGGGGACAAGTATGTGTGTGTAGGAGGAGGACAGGACACAAGGCTGCTTTAATCTCACTAATGGTCTGTTACGGTAGGGTAACCAAGACATGGATTATAAGCAATCATAAGCACTGGCCCTGGTTGGTGTATATGTGTTCAGGAGTTGAGGACACAAGCTAAGAGAGACACCCTGATTTTGTTGCTTTCATGGCATACAAATTCAACACCACACCAATGTTTAGAGACTAGAGTCTGAAAAGTATGATTCAAAATGGTAAAGGGGACCTTTCATGTCCTCTATATATTCACAGCCTATACCCCCAGCACAACACACACACACACTAGAAATGGTCTCCTGCCTCTGTACTTTGTCATATTCATGGGCACCTCCCAAGAGGTCACTGCATTTGAATCAAATGCTTCCCTTTACTTTCCATACACTTTCAAACTCTGTCAGACAACTGGTGGAGTGGAAATGTCCAGGGCTTTATATTTATGATTCACTCATCCTCGGATTCTTCTGAAGAGTCAGCTGTGTGGCCCTCATTAGGGATATGGACTTGTTTTTATACATGCTGCCGCCTCTTAAACCTCTAAGCTTCTGAACTACAAGTATGATTAACTAGCCCCATGAAAATGAACATGATGGCAAATAATTAGAGTATCATATGGCACCCGAGAACTTTCCACAGGGCTCAGCACTAAGCCAAATCTATGTTGAGCACCTTCTGAGGGTACATTTTAATCGCTCCACTCTCTACTTTTGGCCTGAATACATAGCAGTGGAAAAAGAACAGCTGGTGTGATGTCAGTCAGATTGTGATTCCTGACACTTTCTAGTTGCGTGACCTTTGGCAAATTACCTGACTCCCTTGGCAGCAGTCTCTTGTCTGCAAACTGTGTGTAAAGGGGGGAGCTAATAAAAGCCCTACCTTATAGGGTTGCTGTGAGGCACAAGTCCAGTGGTGGAATGTTCTGAGCTCAGAGACTGGAGCATAGTAAACACTTCATAAGTTCTCATTATTATTGTTAAGTCCTTAGTCTGAGGAAACAGATAACTAGGAGGGAACCAGAAAGAGGAAGAAGTAATAGCTGAGAGAGGGGATGGAGCCTGAGGAGGAAGCAAAGCTAAAGAAGAGCAAAGAATGCATCAAGGTCAGAGGTCTATGACCTGAGCTGTACTGACTGCACAATGTGAGAATTTCTGGGTTCCACTATTTCAAAGAACCGATTGCCTGCTGTAGGCTGAGCATGGTGGCACAAGCCTTGAAACCCTCACAGTCAGTAAACAAGAACAGGAAAATCTCTGTAAGATGGTGGCAGCCTGCTTCAGATAGTGATAGCACTTGCAGCTGGGTGAGGCATATTACACCTTTCCACAGCTGAGTCTCCACCCTGCCATGAGCTCCAGGGGTCATTTTCCACCCTCTGGGAATGGAGAAAGAAAGCTGTTTCTCAGACAAGCAAGGTGACAATTTGCTGGAATGAACCTGTTGTGGGATGAGGGGTGAGGGAGGGAAATGCTCTAAACAATAACCAAAAGGGAACATGATCCAATGTGTCCTCCTCTTCACCTTTAGTAAGGTTCCATTTTCCAAGGAATCGTATGTATTTATAATCTCTCAATGCAAAACTACTTTGCCATGGGCTTTCTCTTCTGGGGATCCCTAACTCAAGAAAGAAAATATTGAATGATACTTTATTACATTATTAGACATGCCCATTAAATGCATCACTTTGTTAAGACCGCTGCTTTGGGAAATGCTCTTGCTTTGGTGATTAGAGACTAAGTTGATGAAAAAAATGGTTTCATCTCATTGGAACAAGTAAGCTGTGGTAAAGGAGTTAGATAACACAGTGTCATCCTACAGCTCAAATTATCCAAGACTGTCTGACTTTAAGTATTCTTCTAATGTTCTACATAATGAATAGTGCTCAACCTTGTCTTCGTAGACAAAAACTGGCTAGTCACAAATATATCTTTTAAATTGATGAGTGTGTATAATAAACATGAAGGTGAGGGAAAGCTTAGCTATGGGAAAAATGGAGAATGATTCTCTAATAAAAGAAAAAGAAAAGGCAAGACAAAAGGAAATAACACCGATGCATTGGATCGCTTTCATTGGCCAGCTGGGGACAGAGTTAATGAGGACCACATCCTCTGTGGATTTTCCAAGACCCTTGGTGTATGTGAGACACTGTGCAAAGGTTGACATGAAAAATGAGGTTTAGACTCAAAATGTTTCCCTTGGTCCTTTCTGCATCTAGCAACAGACAGTTGACCAGAGTCACCAGACAAAAGGAGTAGCAGCAATGCCAGGGGGTCAGTGTGATTAGCATGTGCTTTTAATCTTATCGAATTTTAGGCTAAATATTTAATGTTCTGATTGTTTAGAAACATAATAAATACGTTGTGTGATATATTCCTGTGAGATCTACAAAACAAAAGGGAACAGAAAAGAGGATTTCTACTTTCTGCATCACTGTTGTTAAAGGAAAGGACTCATCAAAATTGCCTCGTCCAACACTCTTAATACTCAAAAGACTCACTCAATAAAAACTCTAAAAATGAATTGAGAGGCCCTATGCTTGGAGGTCCTGTCTCAGTTGATCTGAGAAGTGTTTCAGAAAGCACTTTATATCATTCCTTAATTGATTCTCAAAGCAATTGCTTTCATTTTATGGATTAAAAAATAATACCCTGAAGTTTGGGGTTTCTGCTGATTTTCTCAAGTTTCTACAGGTTGGAAGTCAACAGATCTGAATTTGAAACAAATCTCATTTTCAGTATTCCAACTGTAATCTGCTCCTGTAATCCTGTAAGCTGATTCTTCACCAGAAATCTTTCCCAACATTCTCAACTTGAAGTTTAACAGGAAACAGTGTGCATTAATAATTTTTATCTTCTGTCCACGTTCTTCTAGAAGTAAACAGAGTAAAGGAGTTTCTGACCCTTTTTCCTAGACAAATAGCTCTAACTAGTGAAATGAGAGAGAAAAAAACCCTTTCCTTATGTTCCTTAGCCCAGTGCCATTCCCCACTTAGCTCTAGAGCAGTGGGAGAAATTATCACATTATCAACACTTTCTCAGAAATACCTCTGGATTTCCTCAACATATGACTGAAAAAGCATTGCCATCAACTGAAATTTGGATTTGCAGAAGACAAGAGGAGTAAATTTAACTGATCCCTATCCAGAGTCTATACTGTTTAGAAACATATCAGGAACTACCACTGCACCCAGGAATGGTAGATAGGTTCAATTCAGCAGGAATCAAGAGAGAATAAAGCTGTGGTCTGTTTTTAAAATTCAGACTGATCACCTACACAGAAGAAATTAAGATAATTTATCATCACCTTTTTCTCAATACACACATATACATGCATACATATACACATGGATGCTGACAAGTGTAAGAAAATGAGGGAAATCTGTGCAAAACACTTTTATTATATATAACATGTTTCACTTTTACTCAGAATACTATTTCAGTTAGTTCAGAATTCTGACCTAGCATGCACTGTGGCCTTTACATGTTCACAGATGATTGAAATTAAGACTTGAAGATTCAGTGTGCTTTTTTTGTAAAAAGATATTACAGAGAAATCCCTCAACTTTGACTAAGATATATATTTGATTGAACTATGCATACCTTATTGATCACTCGGTGGGACAGCTCCCTCAACTGAGCCACCCAGATTTGGAGTTGACTCCAACTGGCCTCCTTTATTTGAAGATATGCACTAAAATGATTAATCCTTTGATAATCCGGAAAGTCTACCATTAATGTTTGCCTACCAACTTTGTATGTGATCAAATCATCTAGGCCTTCTCCACATAGATTTTCAAGGTCAGCTATGTAGAAAACTCTTAGTCTTGAATCCTGAGACTCAGAAAGAACTATTATGTGGACATTGTGTCTTATAAGGTACCTGCCCAAATCATGTTACACGGATACTATGAAAACCATAACTACATGAGGGAAATAGGACCTTGCATAAGGGAAACCTTCATGCTCCTTTGTCTAGAAGCACAGGAAGCCTAAAAGCTGGGACACTCCTGCTAAGTCACCAAATGTGCTGTTTCTCTTTCCTTGAGGCTATCCTTTACAGTACATATGGGTTAAATTGATCAAGATAATTTATATGTCAGTTTAATATTAACACTATGATCCCAAATCTATTTTCTAAATATCCATTAAGAAAAGATAATATGGTTGAACAAGTTGTGTGGAAGATCTGGGATTTTTCTGCTATTACATGGTTTTCAGCAGTCAACACATAAAATTCAGCAGCAATCCCAAAGTCTAGAGATGATCTGAAAGGATTTAGGCAGAGTGACTCATTCCTACTTTAATAGAAATGCTGTTCATTAAAATACCAGACATACCTACAGCTTCCTTTCGTATCTCTCCCAATGATCTCAGCCTCATGGACACGCCCTTAAGTGAGCTTTTTCCAAAGCAACAGCTGAGCAGCAACCACTTACCTAAAAGTCTAATCCTCTGTGAACATATCCAGGAATTCCTACATTGGGGCATGTATTTCTAATGAATGGCAATTTCCAAATGATTTCCCAGTAGTCCATAAGAAATATTGGTCCAATTTTTATCTGTTAAACCAATCATATATTCTTCCTTCCCCTAATAGTTTCATGGCCTACTTTAATGGTACTACACAGAGTTACCTATGAACAAGATATAGAGTGTCCCAATTCAGATTTCTCTTTGTATGCCCAGTCAGATAAGCACATTTAGCATGAGCAAACCTATATACATTTCAACTTCAGCAGAGATGGAACCCCATGAGGAATGGCAGTTAAGGATACTGATAGTGACTTTGGGATCAAGAAGCCTGAGCATCAGTCAACTTGATGCTTTGGCAAACTTTCAAGGACTACTAAAAATGTAACCATAAGCAGGGATGTCCTTTCCCTCCCGGGGCCACCACCCACTACTCACTACTTGAATTACCTTCTTCCAGTTCATCCATGCTTCCGATCTTCCTGGATCCGTCAATGGTGTAAATGTAGCGCACTCCCTGAGGCAGGTTGATGTTGTCGGACAAGGATCGAGTCAGGTCAGCCAGCAACGCATCAAAACTACGAAAACGGTCAGAAGAAACAGCGTACACAATCCCCTTGAAGTATCGGTCCCCATTACGGTAGAAACGTACCTTCTTGGCCTTCTTCTCATTACTTAATGCCTGCAAGGTTCTGGTTCTGTAGAAGCTACAGTGGGCACTATGAGTGGGACTTGGAAGTCCATTCATCCGTGACCCTCTCATATTTCTAGATGCTTTGTCTCTCTCGTCAAAATGTCCAAAATCAAGTTCCATATTTTGGTGGAACCACAGCAACCTGATTGTTAGAAAAAGGGGTGGGGATAAGGAGAGGCAAAGAATAAGGAAGGGGGAGGGGGAGAAAAAGAATTAAAATATTAGCCAGATCCAGAGCTGCAATCTGCTGCCTGTGAAAAGAACTGGTTGAAAAAAGCCTGTGACCCATCTGCTGCTTGTCCCTGACCTGCAGGAATATTGATCTTAATAGAGAAGAAGGAGGGGGCTGGGCAGTAGGCTGAGGACTGAATGGTGGGGAGGGGGGTAGGAGGAAGAGATAGAAAGGGTGGCACTTTTGGCATTGTTCCAAATTGGGGAGGGGGTGTTGAAATAGCTTAAAAACCTGAAGCTTCCTGACAGTGGCTCCTATCAAATTGTAACTTCGGGCAAAATACATTAAATCTGGCATCTGCTACTTCACACATGGCCACATGACTAACAGTTGTAAATGAATCCATAGCCTGACAAAATTCCCTCAAAGAGAAAGAGAGGGAACTAGTCAAGGTTAGCATCCCCAGCTTAGGAAACAGTCTTTGCATCTCAGTACAAAGACTAGGAAGCGGAGTGTATTAGTTTTGTTCCAAGTCCCTTTTTTCCTGCTCTAATATGTGTATCCCCTCCCCCAGACTAAACTAGGATTCTCTTTTAAAGGGACAGCCTCCAGGGAATACCCGGTGTCTTTGTGCTATTCATCAAACCCTCTCCCCATCAAGCTGGTGCCGCTATACCGCATTCATAAGAAATAAGCTGGGGTCTAAAAGAGGGGAGGGATTGTCTAAAAACCAGTTATTTAGCAAGCTCTGCTTTCCTCTTATTTCCATTTGATATTAGAATTCTTTTTCTCCCTTCAGGTGTTTCATCCCCTCCCCGACCAATGCAGCGACACCTCTTAATAGAATAATTGTGGAAAGATTCCCAAAAGGGTCCCTGAATAGCATATGGGACCTTTACAAGCGAGTACACCTTTCATTGTTCTTCGTTTCTCCCCTGACTGAAGGAACATTTTACCCTCAAAGCAGGCAATTCACTTCAAACTTGTCTATTGCTTAGGTGTATTGATGGATGCAAGAAAATAATAATTGTCATCTATCAAGCTTGGATTTCAGCCTCCCTGAACCCATCCCCACCAGAAAAAAAAAAAAACAACAACAACGACCAAAACAATAAAAACATGCAACCAAATAATACAACCAAAGCCCTGACCGCTTACAAAGGTAATAATGTGAGATACGAAAAAGCAAACTATTAGCATTCACCTCACAGATGGGGGAAAAAAGACTCACAAAGCAAGAGGGCTCAGCTGCTATATACTGCCACATCAAGATTTGCAAGGAACCAGGGAGACAGGAGATAAAGGGGGACTGGTAGCTGGTATACTTGCAAGGCTCAGTTCCCCCTTTTTTTCCAGTGTCACCATGACCTGTGCTGAGCTCAGCATTGTCTCTGTCAGACAACCTGCAGTAGTAAGACCCCACCTCCTCAAGATGAGTAGCAAGCATTTTCCCCAGGCGGGCTGTGCAAATAAAGCTATGCTTTCAAATCAGAAGTGCTATTATTCTAAATTAGCATCATAGTGAAAACAAAGGAACAACAAACTCACTTTTCCAAAGGGAAATCCCAGGTAGAATCTTAGAGGACAAAAATCCTATAGAATAAGGCAAATGAAAGAGAAGAAAGAAGCGGACACACAGAGAAAGAAAGCCGTGTGCCTTGTGCTTTTCCCGTTTGACATCTGTTACATTCTGCTTGAAAATCACTCGAAAGCCCCACTCACCGGTTTTCTGCTGGTTGGGTGGAGATGCTGAGAGAAAGAAAACCAATCTCTCTATGCCTTTGTTGTCTGAGCTCCAAGCAAGAAATTCCTGCCAGGGTGGATAGTTGCCTTCTAGGTCCTAGTGCCTTGTCCAGCTTCTCCCCTGTAACTGAAGCTTAGCGAACACCCCCCAACCTCCTATGATTAATTACATGCTTTTTTTCTTCAATTCACAGCCTGCATTAACAGCTAGAAAGGTTTCGTTTATAACCCACAGGAAATTGCAGGGTAGGAAAAAAAAAAGATTGCATAGGCAAGCTCAGAATGCTCTAATGAGCAATGTGCTAGCCCTTTCTCTTAGAAAATTGCCAATTTTACTTTGGCTAAAACCTTGGCCTAATCTGCCTAGTGGCCGGACTCAGCAGGCCAAATCAAGTTTCTTAGAAATTACAGCTCCCTTCTTTTTACCTTCTTCAAAGAAAATAAAAATCTGTAAATTCTTTAACATTTTGGCTGTGCATTCAACACTGATTGTTTTTTAAAGGAAGTCAGCAGGAATGGTAAATTGACAATACAAGAGGAAATAGTTACAGAAATCATGAAGGCTAGAATTGAAAAGTGGCACTTCTCCAAGTTTTTGTTCAGTTGTTTTATCGAGACAGGGTCCAGCTTTATAGTGATAGTTGTTCTGGAACTCACTGTGTAGCCCAGGCTGACCTCTAACTTGCTGAAAAATTTCAGCCTCTGTTCTGCTTCCTGGCTACTAGAATTTGCCAGCACTAAGGTCCCCAAGCCCAGCATGTCTCCAAAACATTTTAGACTGATATAAAACATTGGTTAATGTTTCACCTTCCCACTCCTGGGCATATACCCAAAGGAGACTATATCCTACCATACAGATACTTGCATTGTTTATTGCTGCTCTATTCCTAAAAGCCAGAAAATAGAAACAGCCCAGATGTCTGTTAACAGATGAATGGATAATGAAAGTGCAAGATATATGCACAATTTTAATCATCCACTGCTAAAAAGTGAAATTATGAGATTTACAAGAAATTGTGTGGAACTGATATACTGAGTGATGTATCCTAGGCTGAGAGAAACAAAAGGATTTATTTTCTCTCATATATGACTTTAGCTTATTGTGTGTGTGTGTGTGTGTGTGTGTGTGTGTGTGTGTGTGTGTGTGTGTGTCTAGATTAAGATCTGTGAAAGCAGCCCATAAGAAGAGAAGTGGGTTTTAAAGAATAGGAATTGAGGTCCAGTCAATTGAGTGGAATCTTCTAGTTCTAAAAAGCTGGTCAAAAGCCTCCTCTGTCTGTGGAGGTTATAGGCTCTAGGAAGAAACTGATTACTGTTGCTTTGCTCAATGGACATTCTACATGTTTATATTTTTATTTGGTTTTTTTTGTTTTTGTTTTTTTCGAGACAGGGTTTCTGTGTGTAGCCCTGGCTGTCCTGGAACTCACTCTGAAGACCAGGCTAGCCTCGAACTCTCGAACTCAGAAATCTGCCTGCCTCTGCCTCCCAAGTGCTGGGATTAAAGGCGTGCGCCACCACCGCCCGGCTCTTATATTTTTACCTAATCAGTTAAAGGCTAATTAAAGATTAGAGTTTCTCAGTCATGATCAAGAAATGTGTTTGTAGTTGTAAACAGTTGACACAGAGACTCATAACCAGTCCATGTGCTGAGAATAAGTGACTTAAGTCCTCACTCAGCCTTAAGAAGGACATTTTATCATCTGCTCCAAGGTTCAGGGAGCATCACTGAAGTGGGGGGCGGGTGGTGAAAGACTGTAAGAACTGGAGTAAGGTGAGGGCTTTCTTCTGGACACAGCAATCATGAACTCACAGTAGCTATTGTTAATTAAATAAGACCAGTACAAGATCAGGACCTCAATATTCCATTATGAATGGGGTAGGAGCTTTGGAGGGCTGAGCATGCCCTGAGGAGTTACTGGCAGCTAATGGTTATGGGGTGAAAAGGATTCAGACCATGCTCACAGTTAGACTCAAAGATATGCTGCCGTAAGAATATCAGTCTTCCCCCAATGTCATCTATACATTTCAAGAAAAAGTCCAATAAAAGAATTATTATGAAATCCCCAAAAGATGTAAAACTGCAATGAAAGAATACAAAGCTTCAGGTACAGCTAGCATGGGAGAGAGACTGATTATAAATCAAGAGTTAAACTATGAAGATTTATTATAAAACTATGGAAATAAACATAGTATAATTATAGTGTTGGCTTGCAAGACAGATCTTGGGAACTGAACAGATGTCAGTATCAATAGGACCTTAGAATACGAACGTGTAATAGTAAGAAAAAGGACTTTGTAGCCAGGCTATCTGGGTTCAAATTCTGATTCTACTAAATTTTAGGTGGTGGCATTAAGTGAAAAATATTAAGACGTAAGTCCTTTGGAGAAGTGATGAGGTCTTGAGTATCCATCCCTTCCTGAAAGAGATTAAGCCTCTGTCTCTTCACTTTTTCGAGATAGGATTTTATTCTATACCCCTTGCTGACCTGAAACTCACTATAATAATCTGGGGTGGCCACAAAAATATGATAATATTTTTGCCTCAGCCTTGAAAGTGTTAAAAGTACAGGGAACAACCATCACTCCTATCTGGACTGAGCACTCTTACAAAGTAGAATGAAAGAAGGTATGAGCATTTTCTGACCCTTCCATGAAGTCCTTGATCTTGACCTTCCTTCTCATCAGAACCATAGAACTGAATTTCTGTGATTTCTAAATGAACCATTCTGTTGTATTGTGTGATACTAGCAATGACTAAAAAAGAATCCAAGAAAATAAAACAACCTTACACACATGTTAAAGGAACAGCAACATCTATATTCATTTAAACATTCTTCAAAATAGTAAAATAATTTAAAGCAGCCCAAATACCTATTCTTAATACACTAATCTGATCATTTTTTCAAATACAAGATTCCATACTCAAATGGAATAGAATAAAGATGAGCTAGGTCGCTTCTCAGCATCCATTCCAGTTCCCTTTAAGTTGCAACTTCTTGAATTGCAGAGGTTTGAAAGATGACAAGGATTTGTTAAGCATTTTAGGTTCCTCTCCTTATATGCATTTGCACGAGATGCAGAATGGGGAAGCAAGATTGAGATTATCTTCCTGCTGGTTTATTCTCCCTAGCAACAAAAGTTGTAGATGGCCAGAATTTTCGTATAACAGTACTACAATGTCCAATTAGCAATTATCTGAGAATCAGTGACCATTGCTGTAACACCAGTAGGTTTCTGATCTCAGAAAGAATGTCACTGCTCTTGTTGGCTCTAGTGGGGGCCTCTTAACCTGTTCTTTCCTTAAATATAATAAAGATCACAAATTTCTTAATTTTATAAGTATCTTATTTTCTTGATTAACTCCTCCTCGTCCTCCTCTCCCTCCTTTTTCTTAATCCTCTTCCTCCTCCTTTCTTTCCTTATCCCCTCCCCCTCCTCCAATACTACTATTACTATAGGCTTTTGTGTATCATAGGCTGTCATACACACACACACACACACACACACACACACACACACACACATATATATATATATGAGGCTGGTCATAAACTTCTGATCTCTCAACCCTGACCTCATAAGGTGATTATAACAGAAGTGATCCTTAGCAACAGATCACTAAAGATGGAGCTCTGGAATTTGATATCTTAGTACTTGTACTTGAAGGCAAGGTATAGACATGGCACGTGATTCTTTGAACATAGTTTTATGTTAGGATAATAATCACAGGTTGTTTCTGACTATGCAGGAGAGTTAATATGACTAGGTCAAGGTTTCACATTATCAACTCTCTGCACAGTTTTATAATTGGTCTAAAATAGTCTTATAAAATTTTAGTCACAGAGTTGGTAGCTTAAAATCAGACTCAGAGTCTAATTTTGTGAGTGGCTGAATTACAGCCAAAGTTGAATTTAAATCTCTTCCAAATGCTCTTGTGAAACTGTCTTCAGAGTGAATAGACAGCCTACAAAATGTAAGAAACTCTTTTCCAGCTATATTTTAGTGCCTGAGAGGTTAATTTCTAGACTACTCTAGTATAAACATTAAACATCACAAAATGCTAATCCATAAATGAACAAAAGAACTGAATGGACATTTTCAATGAATAATTCTAATGAGTTCAAATACTCTTAGACATTAAAGAAATGCAAATTGAAACTACATTAAGATTCAATCAGAATTTCTGTTAGAATGGTTATAATCAGGAAATCAGACAAATGTTTATGAGAATGCAGAAAAGGAGGAATCCTTATATACTGATATTAGGGAGTTTAAACTGATACAGTCTCTATAGAACTTGGTTCAGCTACTAATCAAAAAGCACAAAATCAAACTGCTATATGTTCCATCTATTCCACTCCTGGAAACATATCCAAAGGAAACTATACTCTACTATACCGTAGAGATATTTGTGAACCTATTTTATTCCTGCTTTTGTCACAATATCAAAGAAATGGAACCAGTTCAGATGTCTATCAACTCATGAATAAATGAAAATGCAGTGTATATATACAATTGATCAATACATAGGTAAAAAGTGAAATTATGAGACTTACGAGAAAGTGAACTGAACTGAAAAGATACAGAATGAAGCATCCTAGGCAGAGAATGTCGAAAGCATGTGTTTTCTCTCATATGCGACCCCTAGCTTATAGTGTATAGTGTGTGTGTGTGTGTGTGTGTGTGTGTGTGTGTGTGTGTGTAGAGGGCATGAAACTACAAAGGATCCCATAAGAAGTAAACTAGGTTTTAAGGGAAGGAGAGGAGAAATGAATACTGGGAGTGGAAGCCGTGGAAGAGGAGTAATGGAAGCAGCGAGATAGGAAAAGGAGTCTGGGGGATGTCAATCAAAAAACAAGTGTGTCTGGAAATTTCTTAAGAAACCCTGTTACTTTGTTAGCTCATCTTAAAGATGAAACAAATGCATATCAACATTAGGAAATTAGATGGTAGGAAGATACATATAAGTCTGGCACAACCTAACATTTCGACCCAACCCACCGTTACTTAGACTGTATTCATTCACAAAGTACTTAGCTTTCTACCTAGATATTCAGGCAAAGCCTTACTGTTGT